CCCTCAACCATAATTTGTGCATTGCGTTTGTTCAGCGACAGATTGATGCATAGTGCTATGAGATCAAGATCAACTTTGTTGTTTAAATTTAAGATGATGGCATCGGTGGCCATTTGCACGCATTCGGTGTGCGTAAATAAGCTTTTCACCTAAAAAGAAATTCGAAAGAGTCATTGCGGCCTCGATAAGAAAAGCGAAACTATGTACACGCTTACCCAGTCGTCTAAGCTCATGTGATAGAGTATCTTCATGGCGATGGCGTGATGTTTTTCATCATTGATGAACATCACTAGTTTTGGTAGGTAGCCAGCGCCGACCATTTTTCGCCGCAATGTCCCATCAAAAGACAAATTAAAGACGAGCTTCAACGTTACCTGCGCCAGATCAGTATGTCCACTCTGGAAAAGTCGTGGCAACTTGGCGATAATATTGAACTCTCCCATATCATCTTTATTGTCGCGCACAATTGATAGCTTCTTCAGGAATGTAGTCACCAACATAAGCAAGTCGATATTTTGTCGATCCAGAGTCTTGACGAGCATCTTAACAATATGCTTGCGGCGCATTTTTTCCTCCAATTTTATATTCTCGGCCATGTTCAGCAGCAAATAAAAAGCGACACGGAGTAGTTGTTCTTGTTTCTTGGCAAACACCTTCAACTGCTTATTTAGGCGATCGATTTCCTCTTTCTTTACCTTGGGATCGTTGCGATCGAGCGCCTCATTGCTGGTTGCTTTCATATCGCCGTTCGACGAGACGCCCGAGTCGGGAGTGGCAGCACCAGCAGAGAGCGCTTCATGGTAGCTGCTATTGAGTACTTGGCTCTTCATCAACGAGGAGGACATTGAGCCGTGAAAACTAGACCAGTTACCCGACTTGGGACGTTGCTTCAGCTCTGGTATGCGGCGACGTGGTGGTTCCATCTAAATAAATATGTTGTGTGCATACCTATATTGGTGTGTGGATGATTTTAGTCAGGTAATGTTGAACTTACCTCTTTTGGCTTTTCCTCATTCATTATATCAAGAAAATCATCAGTGCTGCGATTTAATTTCTCTTTGCTGGATTTAGCAGAAAGTGGAGCTGAGCTGACAGGATTCTTTCGCACATCCAATTCATTGCGCATGCTTTCATATCGGCGCAGTTCATAGTCGATGACGTCCATGCAGAGGGAACCAATCTAGGTGGAGTGATGAAAAGTTTAGCACACATATATATATATATACATACAAAGTTATTGTAATTATATGATTAGGAACACTGTGAATTCATTATTAAGACTACATATTTAGTCAATAATAATCTCACCATTTTACTAATTTAGTAAAAACTTAGATAGTTCATATATTTACCAAAGCGGACTTTAAATCAGAGACTTTTAGTGGCTTATGAACAGGTAATCTCAGTTAACTACTGTTTAGGCGCGACTGCTAATACCAGGCGCCTAACGGCATGCTATGTACCTACATTAAATTTTTGCACATGCACTTCTCAACTGCTATGTGATAAAACTTTCTTAAGTTCTAATTTGATGGCAGTCCAAATTGTGCTAGTTGTGTTCAACTGTTATAAAGCCGATCTGGTCTTACGATATATAGTTTTAAGTACCGCGCAAATTCGAAAATTTCGAAATACTTCAAAAATTCCAATAGGATGAGTGTTGATTGCCATTAATGTGTTTTAAACGATTAACTTCAACGAGATCACAAGAAGAAATTCCGTTTCATACAAACTGAACCTTAAAACTCACCATAACTCACTTATGACCAAACTAGCAACCCACTTAAACATTTTTACTCGAGAAATAGGAGGTCCACAAAACCTCTTGGTCGTTGAATATGCTCCAAAGCTGGTTGTTCACCAAAAATTGTTTCGCCACTGGGATTGACAACAAGAGAGAAGCTGCAGTTACTCCATAAAAGATAAAAATTCCAATAGAAACTGGCTTAAAAAAAAACAGGAAAAAAGGAAATCTATTTCAAAGTTGTCTTAAGGCATGCCCGCGAAAATTAGTAGCTATTCCGCTACATCCGTAGAAGCTGGTTTTGCCATTGGGAATCGTTCGAATTACACTGCGATAGTATCGAGTGCATTTTTCGAAGCCTTGCCAGCTGTACATTTCTTAACATTTCAGTACTTTCTAACCTGCTCATAAATAATTTCAAAAGTCTGATCTACAAAGATGATAAGAAGTTTAAAAGTATTTCATATCTAATAGCGTTTTCTTTTCTCGAAATAATGTTGCATGTATTCTGCCCGGCGCCAGGGCTGCCAAGTTTTCGTGTTCTTTTCTCAGCATCTCCGCGTACTCTTTTTTTAAATGTTGCACTCTGATAATGTTGCCATATAAGAAGGTGACATTTTTTTTTCGAGAAAAGAGAACGCCATAAGTTGTGTTAGAACACCCACCTTGTATTGCACAATGACGGGATGAAATTTTGTGTAGGTTGAAAAACAGAAGAATATATAAATAATGTTTGTTGATAAATCTAAACTTTTGCGCCAATCTTCGCGCAGCACACGCGACAATGCGGATAGGCAAGCCTCTGTAACAAATGTAATAAGAGTTTTTATTGAGTTACGTCGAGTCCAGTATTCGTATATGTATAAACAAACCATTTTTCTCCAGCTCCTCCAGATTATCTGGATTACGTGCCACTTGCAAAATCATAGCCGAACCACGTATTCGTTCACTTAAATCCTCATACAACAACTCCACATACTCATCAATATTATTGATGGACACATCAGCATTGCTGGCCGGCGTTTTAGCGGGCGAAAGAGCGGCAGAGCTGGGATTTGGCTTGGCGGTGGTTGGGCGCTTTGCAGACACAGCCGAACGATGGTGGCTGTTATTGTCCGCAATGTCTAATTAAAATTAATTAGAAATAAAATATATAAAAATAAAAACGAAGTACTATATGTCCTTACCTGCACCAGCATTATCCTTGCGATTCTTCAGATAGAATATTATTTGCTCCACATCGGCCAATTGGGACTTGTGTATGAGATCACATTTGTCTACGACTTCACGCGCCAACGCGGCAGGATCCGTTTTGGCATTCAACGAACGTAAGCGTATTATTTTCTGGCAATTCTGTAATTAAAAAAAAAAAATGTTGATGATAATTTTAGTATGCGTCATATATGTATGTATATGTATGTATGTATATTAGAATAATAGCATCACTTAAAATAATTATATGATTGTATTATTTATTTATTGTACCTCATAATTACAATGGCCAGTACAGTGAAGGTCAAGTTTATGCCTAATTAATGGAGCGTGCTAGCCGATTAGTAGTGACATGAATGTCTTGTGTTTGCACAGCAGCAGTTAGTCAGAATTCACTGGACTAGTAGGGTGAAATAGAATTTGGGTCAGCACTAGTCTGCAGCTAAGCTTTCAACATTATGCCCCATTTGACAGTAGTTCTCAGTCAGTCCTCGATTCGACTCACACTGAGTACCAGACAATATTCAGATTATCAACAGCAGCTTAAGTATTATCTCTTTCAATGGTAATAAGGCGTCTGATTGTTTACAGAACTACACTCTAAACAGATTTGCTAAACTAGAACTTTTAACGAAGGAGTTGATCCGGCTACCGATTCCTGTGCAGGTCCATCTACTTAGATAAATTATTGTTTATTCAAATAGGTTTTTATAGTGAAATGAGCTACCCGAGCAGAGGTCGCTTACGGCTCCTGGCGTTTGGTCTCATAAAGTGTAGATTATCATACTTCTCTGAGTTGACTGAGGGCCAGTTTTTCAGTGCACGGCCGTGGTTTAAACTAAGTTTAAACGCCCGATCTGGCTGGTTTAAAGTAAGACCAGCCAATCAAATGTCAGCCAGCTGTTCAATTTAAACTCAGTTTACTTAATGTAAGTTTAAACTGGCACTGAAAAACTGGCCCTGAGTGTATGCTGGGTTTGCCAGTAAAGACAAATGCCACCTGGTGGCATCGACTACATTGCTGCATTTACATACGTATATGTATGTATATATTTATGCTTAAAGATATGTATTTGTATGTACATGCGTGTCTATGTATGCGGCTTTAATACATTTGGGGCAATCAATCAGCAAAAAGAATCCAGTTCAAGTACAAATAAATAACAAATACATTAGCACTTGTAGGCAGTGTTGCCATTTTGGTGCTTTTGGTGCTAGATTTAGCTCTTTATTTTTCTATTTAGCTCCGAAAATCGGGTTTTAACTCCTAGCTCTTTTTTTAGCTCTTTTCAAATTTATGTAGAACTTTTTTAGCTCCAGAAAGTTTTAGTTGTATTTGGTATATATAAGCCAAAACTTAAGCGTTGATAAAATGAAAAATTTCGAGATGCAGTGTATCCACGATAAACTCTTGGATCTGGGTTAAAGAGTTTAAAAATTAATTAAAAGAAAATCCTTTTTCTGATAGCGCGGATTCGGTTTTACCTTACTAATTTTACCATAAAGGAGAGCTGGAAGTAAAACTTTCACCAAAAATTTTGCGAAAAAATTATTCAATTGAAATATCTGAAATTGCAGACTTTAACAGTTTGTAAAGTATTTTTAGTTCCCCTTATTTTGGTTTTAAACGATTTTTTCCAGCACTTAAACTTATAAAATTCGTTGTTTTTATTAAAATTGCCGAAAATATAAAAACAACCTTACGTCAATAAATGCTCAACCTTAACAAAAATATATAGCTCTTCATTTTAGCTACTATTAGTATTATTAAGCTTTTCAGCTCACAAAAATGTTTTTTTTTTTTTGATGAAGGTGTTTCACGTTTTTTCCATACAAAAGTATGTTCGACAATTTTCTTTTATATGTTGTGTTTATAAAAAAAAAATAATAAATATTAAAAAAAAAAAACAAAAGACAAATGCCAAATGCTAAAATCGCAATTCTTTTATTTTGTGGACCACTATATGTATGTACATACTAGGGATGTTGCGAATGTGGAATTTTAGACATCCGCGGATGCGAATGCGGATGTCAAGTATTTTTAAGAAACAATTAGAATCTGGTGTAATGACGATACCGTTGTTTAAACAGCGCTAACAAGCCCAACCAGATGTGTCAGGGTTTTCTAATGGTGATTGCGTCTCTACGAAAAAGTGTCGCCTTTTGATTGCCCCTTTCTCTTTTCGTGTTCGATTCTAAATTAAAGGCAAAGGGTGAGACAATTTTGTGTTCGCTTCTTAAAATGTCACACTCTTGTAAGGCAAAAAAGGACGATTTTCCGCCCTTTGAAGCTTTGTCAGGGGAGATAGTTGCCCTGAAAATCACATGGTGGTTAAAAACGGCAATATTATGAAATGGGTGAGCTAGACAAGGACAAGAAGGCAAAAACACGCTTTTTTTACAGGGTTGAGTGTAACATCAAACACATTTTTCACGGGGAAGGGCAACATTTTGTCGAAGAAACGAAAACACCATAAAGCTTTTTAAAAAGAATTCTTCTTCTACATTCCATTGGCTGTTTCAGAATTTGGGGAATCTGTAACTTCATCTTTCTTTTGCGGCTGGTTTGAAAAATTTGTACTTATAGCGAGGAATGAAAATTTTGAACAAAATTGTGTTTTCAAAGTCGTGGCTGCCAGCCGAATCGGATCAGAATATTGTTATCTTTTTAAAAAAGCACCCTGTTTTTTTTATGAGATAGTTACGTAATTCTTATCTTATTAAAGGTCAGACCCATAGTTTTTTAATTATTTGAGCATCGATTCTCTTTATAGCCAGACGTTGATAATTTTTGCTGGAAATCCCCATTGAAGGAGCTTACTCTTTGATTTTAAATAGCAAAGAATGGACAGTTTTACCACAGAAGTTTTTAGCCAAGGATCCAATGTATATCCCTATGAAAAAAAATATTGCCTAACAAGTAAACAAAAGTGCTGTTTTTAAAATTTTTGCTAAAAAGTAAATTCCCCAAAGAGCCCCATTTGAAATTATTGAAACGAATATCTGTAACATCAAAAGCAAATCATGAAAATCTGGTTAAGAATTACAGTACACACTTTCTTATTTTTTGTCTAGTAGTTTTTTAAACATCGGTAAAAAAAAATCATAATAAAGAAAGAAACCAATGCAAAAAAAAAATAAAAAAAAAAAAAAATAGGTAAAAAGACTATGTTCTCGTTGACGTACGTCAAAGGCCCAGTAGAAGTTGGAACTTGTATGAATGCCCATTGATAGCTCGGTTATATAGCTTAAGAAATAATATGTTTAAAGACATTTTTATCAAATTTGATAAATATGACATTTGACCAGTTTTGTTACACAAATACTTCCACGACCACAGGCAAAAATATTGGCTACAATTTGTCATTTTGTTTGCCATATAGGTATACGTTTCGTATCGGTGCACTTGCACAACATTCGCATTCGCAAAAGCTCAAAAGTACTCAACGAAAATTTCGATCCTCCATAAACATCGAAGATCGAAAATCGAATGCAATTCATAATAAGGGCCCTTGATTTGTGGTGGTTAAGTGATTTTTACAATTAATACAGATATTTAAGAATATTACAAAAATTTGTTAACATTAAATTTACAGACTCTTCTACTAAGGTGCATTATGCTTCACATATTTAAGACCAAATGTGGCTACAAAGAATCTGTGTGGTTTCATTTTTTGATTGCTGAAAACGGTGAGTCTACTGCAAAATGCAAAAATTGTGATAAAGTCGAAGTGCCGATAAATCTTGAAAAATCCCAGGATCCCGGGTAAGAATTTTTCGCGTCCCGATATTCCGGGATTGTTAAAATATGCTTCGGGTAGTATGTACAATACTATGAATATATGTATGTATGTATGTATGTATGTCGATTAAGTCTGCTGCTTCCGAAACATTAGGCCAAATATGCCATAACGACACTGCAGCTGAACTTACCGACCGACAGTCAAATAAGTCAATGGCACCTAAAGACTAGCAATGGCAAAAATGTTTTGTATACCCATTTGCATAGTGTGTAATAAAGCCACAACAAAAAATACATAAGTATGAACATACATAGTATGTCCATAAAATACACTTACATATGTATGTACCCAGTGGGAAAAGTAGTAATGCATTCCATGCATGATAAATAATCGAATGTGTTTCTTATGAGTTTTACATCCAATTACTGTTTAATATATTATCAACATTCTAATGCAATCAAAAAGTCCCAAAAATTTCATATTAAATCACATTCATTTCTCGATACCAGGCAATGCAAAATTGAATGCCCCACATCGCCCTGGGGAAAAAAATGTATTTTCGAATGTGAATGTTTCACTGATTATTTTTTCGATTACTATACATTTAATTTTCCCACTGGGTAGATATACGCAAATTAATATGCATAGAAAACAAATACATATGAACATATGTACCTATGTATGTACAAAGTAACTATTTTAGCACGTTTTTGAAGTTACCAGTACGGTGAGATAATTTGTTTGGCGAATCAAAACAATAAAAATATAAAAAACGTGAATAAAAGACAGTCGCGTGTTTAGCTTGTAGGTAACCATGTATGTATGTATACTTATGTATGTATGTGTATGTATATGTTAGAGTTGGACTTTTTAGTTCACTTTAAAGATTAGTTCACTTTAAAGATTAGTTCACTTCTAGTTCGTTGAGCTCAATGAACTAGCTCGTCTGAGTCTTATAGTGGATTTCCACCCAGCCTTAACTGCAGTTACTGCCGATTTGAAGATGCCAACTCGAAGGTGGTAATTCCACGTATTAAGTAGAAGCAAAAGAAAGGAAAAAAGGAAATCTTAAGAAAAAAATTTGCCGATCACGTTGCCACGTTGGAACTATTGGAACTTCTCTAAGCTTGAATAACTCAGCGAGAGGGGAGACCAGTATGTTTGCATGTGTGTATATAAAAAAAAATATTTATTGGACCAAAAAGTAGTGGGTAGGCACTGTGGCCAATGGTAATCAACTATTACCACCTCCGCATGGTTGTAAGCCATGCAGAGTCCGCAGAATGCTCCGGAAGCAGTGTCCGGAGGATGCATCCGACTAGGCAGAGCATACTTTGAANAACAAAGCTCTTAACTGCAGTTAAGCCTTTGGGGGATATATGCTATTAGTTCGTTCAT